TGTTCCGCGACGAAAACAATGTTGAGCAATGGCAATGTCGAATGGTGACACTCGGTAAGTAATCCTACAATTTTTTGTTTATAGCGTAGTTTATACGGATTATTCCCAAAAAATATATACGTATTTTGGAAATGTTGAGTCGGATTAGTCTAGAATCGATTAATTTTATGGAAGAAAATCTTTCAAACAGCCGTAGTCCGTAAACTTGATACGTGTCGGGTTGTGATTGGAAGGATTCGTAAGAAAGCGGATTCTTAGAGAATGGAACGTATCTCTATCTTATAGGGGGGTCGACTGTATAAATTAATTTAAAAAATTGGTTTAATTTAAAGTTTTTATTATAGTTTAATCTTCAGTTCAATATATCATCATCCATTTCTCAATTAGCTTTTTTAAAATTTATGCTATTTGAAGTATACTCACTTCATTTCTTTTAAAAACAGTTGTTCTGAGTCTAAAACTTCGGTACGAATAAATTATTTGAAAGATGATTATGTTTACTACGTGACACGCAGACTCAAAAAAATTTGCCATTTCTGTTAATAACTTATATGCTCTAAGATAAATGTAGGTTGAAAAAAATCACTTCGTTAATAAATAAAAAAATGATTAACAGTTATTTTCTGTCACTAAAATTATTACGATAATGTTATGAAATTACTTTTAAATATTAATTGTTTTTACCTCTATGTCATTGGTTTCGTATTTCGATATGAAAGGTAACAGTTACAGCAAACGTACGAAATTTGCAACCAATGATTGCCGTTTTAGTCCATTCTTTTTCTTCTAAAATCTATGATTTGTGTATTGTATTTTTAGTTTTGTAGCGTATCCAGCCGAATACAGTTATCAAAAATGCATATCTTCGGTTACAACTAAAATCCAACCGGCAAACGTTCAACTTAGTATCTTTATTTTTATCTACAAAAACCTGACCTTCATTCAAAGTCTAAATTTATTAAATAGATAATTATAAATTATAGCGATGTCATTTAAATAAGACAATATAATTTCTAATTAACACTATGAATATATCCGAATCTAATGAAGAAATTTTGCCCCTTCTTAAAGAGAAAGTAAAGAGTAAGTTAATTGAATATGCCAGCTTAATTTCATTTTTTTACTCAATCTATAGCGACGTTTAACAGTTTTTTTTTGTTTTTTTATTTGTTCGGGAAATTTATAACATCAATAACGAATTTCTGTCGGGAAAAATTTTTAATTAAATCCTAAAATTTGTATTTGATCTGAATGTACAGTACTGTACATTGTTAAAACTAGATTAATAGGCCCACAAAGATTTATAAAAGTTCTATTCAGTTCTAGTTTAACTGAAATTAAATAAATTAGTAAAATAGTTAATGTATTACTAATAAAGTTTTCTTTAATTTTTGATAAGTGATTTAGATTTAGCATACGTATATTACAATATACTAAGATTAATAAAAATATACCTTTTAATTGTAGAATCGTGTTCACAATCGTCTACGATCATATTCTGTTTATTGGGATTTTTTGGAAGTTTCAATCTGACATGTCTTAAAACAAACTTGAGTGTAACTATAGTAGCTATGGTAAAAGATTTCCCCAATGAAAACAACATTATTTATTCAGATTGTCCCTCTCCCTATCAAAATTCGTCGATAAAATTACCTAAAGTAAGTTCTTGGAAATGTTTTTTTTACATCTAGTTGAAACTATTTTTAATGGTATTAATTTGGTTTATCTATATTAACATTGTACAGCACGGAGACTTTTATTGGACTTCCGAAGTTCAAGGACATATATTAGCTGCATTTTTCTACGGCTACTGTCTCACCCATTTTCCTGCCGGAATCATAGCTGAAAAATATGGCGGCAAATGGATTTACGGTCAGGGTGTTTTCCTTACTGCCTTTCTAACATTATTAACGCCTTTTGCTGCGAAATTTAGTGCCACGGCATTGATTATTTTAAGGGTCTTAGAAGGATGCGCGGAGGTAATATATTTGTATGAACTTATTTTTTTATGATATGTAGTAATAGTGCATTTTGAAAATAATAGGGTGTCACGAGTCCATCGATGCATTACTTGATCGCCAACAGAGTATCGAAGTATCATAGAACTATGGCTACCAGTTTTATTTATAGCGGCGGTCTAGTTGGAGTAGTTGTGTCTCTATCTGTTTCTGGCATATTGTGTGATGCGGAATTTTTAGGAGGTTGGCCTGCCGTATTTTACATGTTTGGTACGTGTAATTAAATGTACTTTTATCGTAATGTTATAGATAAGATTTTTAAACATTTGGCTGTATCGTTCTGTCAAAGCAATGAACTGATATCTTCGGAAATGAGCAACTAATATGTTGCCAACTTTCAATATTTCGTATTTAATAATTTTGTTTCCTTTGTTATAATAGAGTAAATAAATATAAATAACTAGCTGTTACCCGCGGGTTTGCCCGCGCGGATTTTGCAAGCAAACCCCATTTGCATTCAGTATTTCAACAAACATAGCAGTGGCGTGCCTTCATTAGAAGCGTTGGAAGCGCCGCTTCCCTCGTATTCTCTAAAAAATAAATAAATATTAATTTTAATTATATGAAAATAATCGCACAATATTTTATTATAACCGCATTATGTATCTTATTACAAATTTCTATACTACACGTGAAAAAAAAATAAGATTGCTATTGTATATTCGAATATTAGTGGCGGAGTGGAATCTCTGTATTGTCAGATTCCAAAAAGCCAGATTTGCGCATGCGCTTTACAGAGCACCAACCTCACCCGGTTTAGCCGGTGGAAGCCTACGACCTTGGGTTGATGCTACACATATAACGCTTCCAATTCTATCCGGGACCGGTTCCGGGCTGTTAGCCGCCCGCCCGCTAGATATTTGGCCGCCCTCGTCCGATTACGTGAATAACGAGTAGATTTATAACTTAACCCAACCGATAAGAATTTACTGGTATGTTTTTATGATAGTTCTGTATAGTTGACAGGAGTTTAAAAAAATCCATTAAAATATTTGATATTTTTATTCCGCTCTCCGATTTTATATTACTCACGGATTTCAATGTTAAACCAGTGATATTACGATTTCGTATATCCCATCTTTAAGGGGATGTAGAAAAAAACGTGTACAATTCTTGTATAATGTTAAAAAATTAACTGTTACTTTGACAGCATCATTTACAACTAAATTTAATGAATGAGAGAGATGCACGAGGTACAGAAAAAGCTCTAGAATTTATTTTCCTTAAATTTACGATTTATGTATCCGTTTGTCATAAAAATTTGTCTTTCCACTTTTTTCCCGAGACTACAAATATTCGAGTACAAAGTAACCGGTTTCGACTTATTTCTACTTAAGAAGTAGTTAAATAATTAAGCGATTAGGGAATTGGGGACGTAAACAAAACCCTGACGAAAGAGCCGGAATATTACTTAAACAAAAGCTTAACCGAACCAATCTATAGCCGAGTACAGTGGGGACTGATTTCTTCGAAATACTGTATTAGATGTAATAAAGACAGAAATTTTTCCAGTTCAACGAGAGTGACCGAAAAGTTGTAAATTTTGGAAATTTCCGTGGACAACACCTGGTCCTAAAACGAATTAGTTAGAAAACAAAAGACGGACAATCTATTAAGTTTAACGTATTTAGATTTTTACAGCTATGATGAGAAACGTTTAAAATTTGCAACAACCTTGTCGCGTCTTTTGAGATATACTAGTGATACGACAAAAGAGGCATTTGACGTTAACCGGTATCGGCACCCTCGGGATTTGGCATGCATACCCAGGAAGCCAATTCTAGCTAAAAATTTAGAAAATCGTCTAATAAGATATGTTTATGGTTTAACAAGATCCGACATCAAAAGTTTGGCATATCAGCTTGCAGTGAAGTAAAAAATAGAACAAAAGTTTCAAAAAAGATATTCCAATGCACGACTAGTCCCAAAAGGACGTTCCTTTGAAACTAGCCATGTTGGAATAAAATGAATAAATCATTTTCTCGGTAGAAAAAAAAAAAGTTATTAATACGCAAACCTAAGGGACATTATTTTTCAGATCTTTTCTTAATACATTTTCAGGAGGTTATGGAATTAAAATTTAGATGAAAAATGAATACAGTGAATACTACGAATACTTCATTTGGTAAAACACGTAATGTCTCATATTACTTTCTCTTCCCTCACGCTGTACAGTACAGTTAGAACCTGTTTGTTATATAGTAGGTTCTCAAAAAAACGCAAATATTGTGCTCCAAGTAAGCTAAATCTTTTATTTTACATTTCGTGTAATACAAACAAAATTTTGCCATTTAGAGTAATGACAATTGCCATAATTGCGCTCTGCACAGATAAGAGAACAAAGAATGAGTAGTCGAAACCAGATACGATTCGAACAAACGAAAAGTTATAATCGTCGGATTTAATTTAACTTTAGTTCAATTGTTGTGTTTAAAAGTTAATTTCTAAATAGAAGTCCCACTGTAAATTCGAATAAAAGTTTATAAAATTTTATGTAGAATAGTAGCTTCGTGGACCTTATCTAAATCTGGTATACTAAGAAATAACTATTATTTAAAGTTATCACATTAAATTAAAGATAAAATGCGTTTTCATCTTTTGTTCTTTTTCACACTTTCGGGATCCAACAACATTTTTAAATCAGTGTTTTTTTATGAGTGCTATAATTAACTAATTTGGTAATTTATGTTTGTATTCTTCAAAGTGTTCGTTGCAACGAACTTTTACCATAAGCCAAATAGAGTAACTATGCTGCGAATGTAATTTTGAATCGTGAATATACGTATCTTGAGCAATGCATAGTGATTTTTCTAGCGCGTTATTTTAAATGTTTTTAAATTATGCGTGTTTCAAACACCTTTTACGAATTTAAGAACTTACTGTACGGTACTTACCTTATATAGCTTAACAAAAATATAAATTTTGTAAGGCGCTGGATGCACTTTCATCGCCACTGTACACAGGTTCTATAGTTTATAGAAGGTTAAAATAATTTTAAGTTAAAAAAAATTATATAATTTTGTAATTAATCAAATGTTACTTTTTAATACAAATTTTCTTTTAGGTTGTCTGGGATGCGTTTGGTCTATACTTTGGTTTATTTTAATTACAAACGAAGAATCTCCGAGCAAGTTACCAAATTCATTTGGAACTGTAGAATCTCAAAAAGTATAGAAAATTAAATAATTTATTGTTATTATTAAGTTATCGGATACATTTTGAAATTACTTTACAATAGTATTCTTCTGTGCCTTGGATATCAATTGTAAAGTCGCGACAAGTGTGGATTTTAATATTTGTTCATTTCGGTCAAGGATGGGGAGCTCTTCTACTTTTAACCGAATTGCCGACATACATGAGTACCGTGCTGTACTTCGATATAAAACAGGTAGGAAGGATTTAATTGTAATCTGCAAATTGTATATAATATAAATTTAACACTTTATAACATTAACTTTCAGAATGCATTTCTCTCTGCTATTCCTTATTTATTCCAAACCGTCACCGGGTGGATTTGTGCGTGTATTGTCGATTATATGCTCAGAAATGCGTACGTCCAGTTAAATTTCATACGGAAGACGTGCAATACAATTGGTAATATGTACAATATCAAACGATTTGTCACTTATTCATAGTTAACAAATATGCAAAACAGTTATTTTCCTCCCCAGGATATATGGGTACCGCAGTGTGTTTAATAGGAGTCGTTCAAGTTGGCTGCGATCATACTACCAGCGTATTGCTTTTTATTTTTGGCATGTCTCTTAATGGTTTCGTCAACTCGGGATTTTTCGTATCTATCATAGACATGGCACCAGATTTTGCAGGTATTTTTCAAAATACTATCGAATTAAATACAAAATATCTTCAATAATTTTATAATTTATACAGATATTTGTATCATTTAAATTCAATTTTTATTTCTATCACAGAAATTATAAACAATATAATAAAATTAAGATCTATAAAATTCAATAAAATACCTTTCATTAATTATTCATTTAAATTAACTACAATTTTTACAGAATTTATATCGTTATATTGAATATAATTTTTGAATTAGGATTTTTTGCATCAAGTACTTTTCAATATTCAGCAATTTTCCATTCGGAATACTACATTTTATTGCTTTTTCTCTTTCTTTCTCGAAACTTATATTATACTCTATTTGCATTTGGCTCGGCCTTAAATATATTGTTTTCTAAAGTCGCTGAATTAATGTTAATTTATAATTCAAGTTTATTGTATTAATGTTGTTAAACAATATCATAATTAGCATTAACCAGTCGGAAAACTGTAAGAAGAAATAATATGCATGAAGAAATAATATGCATGATTTAAGTCTAAAGACATACCAATACACGAACTATAATTAATACGCTCGACAACATCCAAATACCGAAAAATTCATAAAATTATTGTGGCGTCGTCATAATGCCGGTCTGCAATTTATTATCACATTTTAAATTTATTTAATCCAAAACATACGTTCTCAATTTTACAAGTGTATGTCGCCCTGTATATTTCCCGATATCATGCAGGTCATATATCTGACTTTGCTCTGGAAAAACTTTTTGTATTGAAATAACGTTACTTCGGTAAATATCGGACGTTTACATAAAGATAACCGGGACTTCCTGCCTCTACGGTTTCTATATCTGGTCTCCATTTTTGATATATTCTATCTAACTCTATTCTCGAGATTAAGAAAAGACAGACAGACATGCTAGTGAGAATTTATAGGTCTACAATTTGAAAATTAAGATCACAATGAGGTAAGATATGTTACAAATTAATAAACGATCTCAAATATGCTCACCAAATTGATAATTAAACATTTTGAGGTTCTTTCACGCACCAGTGAAAACTATTCGCAATGTTTCGAATCCAGACAGGCTGCACGACTAGATGGAACGCCATCTTTAGATATTTTTTATTGTCCGTACTAACGAAATATTTTCAACGCGTGATACGTAGAAAATCGCTGTAATCGATCTTTCGATTGCCGTTTTAAAGCCGAATTTTTCCCATGCATCGACACGTTTTGAAAGGAATATATCAGAAATATTGTATAGAATAAACCAATAAAAAGTGCAGAATTAATACGAATTATAACGATTCCATTGAGCCTCTGGTAATTACAGGAAATCAATTTTTCTTATTAATTATGACTAATAAAAAAGCAGAGTTGGATTATATTCTGCTCGAATTCCAGCGACTAAACCACCCCAGAAGACGCCTAAAAGGCTACATTTTCTGTGAGAAAAGGCAAATAAGTATTCGCTTCAGTTAATTTCGCCTTTTTTATATTTAAATAAATAGAATAAAAACTGCATTCTATAGAAAGCGTTTTATCAACATTTGAGTATATAAATTTTCATCTTTAATAAATAAATGTTGTTTAAAAAAGAATAATTAATTTGTTTCCAACTATAATATTACATACCAAGCCTGTTACAATAGTCAAAAGAAAATACACTTTTTATTAATGTACTGTCGACTGCCAATGTCAATACTATTCATCAACATTAAAAGCAAGCTTAATAATAATAACAACAGTATTACCGAACATATTTAACGAAACAAACGAATAACTTCATACATAATTTGATGATTAATAACATTATTTAAGCGAGCAAACAGCTTTCGGCAACAAAATCAGAGTAATTGTTAATTGTGAAGCAGTTCTCTAAATGATCTTGGTGAGAAATATAATAAAAATCCAGCAGCGAGTTGATCAACTTCCTGGGAACATTTGGTAGCGCCGTCTGTTATCATATTTTATTTTAAAAACATTTTATATTTTTAATTATTATAAAATAAAGTCGCGACAAGTGTGGATTTTAATATTTGTTCATTTCGGTCAAGGATGGGGAGCTCTTCTACTTTTAACCGAATTGCCGACATACATGAGTACCGTGCTGTACTTCGATATAAAACAGGTAGGAAGGATTTAATTGTAATCTGCAAATTGTATATAATATAAATTTAACACTTTATAACATTAACTTTCAGAATGCATTTCTCTCTGCTATTCCTTATTTATTCCAAACCGTCACCGGGTGGATTTGTGCGTGTATTGTCGATTATATGCTCAGAAATGCGTACGTCCAGTTAAATTTCATACGGAAGACGTGCAATACAATTGGTAATATGTACAATATCAAACGATTTGTCACTTATTCATAGTTAACAAATATGCAAAACAGTTATTTTCCTCCCCAGGATATATGGGTACCGCAGTGTGTTTAATAGGAGTCGTTCAAGTTGGCTGCGATCATACTACCAGCGTATTGCTTTTTATTTTTGGCATGTCTCTTAATGGTTTCGTCAACTCGGGATTTTTCGTATCTATCATAGACATGGCACCANAACGATTGCGCTTTTCCTCATAAACTATACCTGCTTCTGAAAATAGCTCTCACTATATACACTACTGCCATGAGACGATAGATAAATCTTAGCGAATTCTGTCAGGCTTGGATACTGTTTTGCGTTTGCTGACCACCACTTGTAAAGGTCTGCCGTCCGATTTAGGTGAACAGTTTTCATATAAAGTGATACAGTGATATTTTTTAGTAATAATTAGTAACGCAATTTGATGTAACAGTGAACAAATAATGCATGTTGTGACATGATCTACTCGCAAATAAAACAAATGTGCCCGCAGTGTCGCTACCGCACCCACCGCAATGTATCATGTCGTAACATATCACCCACGAAATGTACACATATTTTGCCGAACATTCGGCCGCCGAATATTCGGCGCTTCAGCCAAGAGCGTAGCCGAATGTTCGGTATTCGGTATTCGGCAAAATCACTATTCGTGGCATCACTAGAAATTACCCCCGACTTTTTTGCATTTCTCGACGTTTCGAGGTGTCCTGAGTTCAAAGATGTAAAAATCTTGCACGGGGTCATTTTTGGACTGATCGCCATATTTTCCCTCTGTAATATATAACAGCGAGAAAGTAAAATTCAACCAGAACAATATATTATGATTAGTCTTATTCGTGTTTTCACATGAAACAAATAATTATAATTCCGATTTAAAAAAAGCAGTTTTAGCAATTACAAATTGTAATATCGCTACTTTAATTTTATATTAATATTTAGCTAATTATTTGCCATATTCGAAAACAGCATATCTCGAGTTAAAAACTAATGATTTCTAAAAAATTTTCTTCGTGCCAAGTTTGCTCGTCCGGAAGAAAAGTGGCACGATTCGAAAAACAAAATTTTCCATAATAAGCAAAGAAACAATGCTCTATTCAAAAGCTAGTCACTTTTCTTTCGGTCGAGCGAATTGATTGAATTATCTGCAACATTCTCATTATATTTTATGAAGTAAAGTAATTAACAATTTTTAAAGTATTATTTTAGCTGAAATGAGATTATGCTAATTTGTGTTGTTGAATTTATTTTCAAATTAATTGAAATATTTTTATATTTTATTAGAGATTCTAAGATACTCGTGCTTATGATATAATAAAAGTACCGTATTTACTCGCATATAAGACGAGGTTTTTATCCATTTTTCACTGCTTCAAAAACCTAGGTTGTCCTATACGCGCGAGCGAAGGATTCTTTTCATTTTTGTATAATTTTTGTAAATTATGTATTCGCATATTTTACCAAATTCTCACCTTCTGGTGTTTAAAAACAAAAGTACTTTATCTGGGTCGTTTCATTCGTTCTTGTGTATCGTCAGGAGTAAAGATGAATAGCAATAGGAAAGCAAAGCTTTTAAATTGAATTCCAAAATTATATGGGAGCCCGATATAAGTTTTAATTTATTCCCACGTGAAAACGGGTGGTTATTTGGAAATTCGAAGAAACTCCTAAGTGTAATCGACGAAGAGTGAATTCGACTTAAGAACTGGCAAAAAAGAGGTTCCGGATTGTCCAGCTTTACATGAACAACTTATGTTGTCGATTTTACAAGATTTTTCCTTGAAGTTTAAAATGCCAATAACTTTTGCGGAACAATGTGAGCATTTACGTGCATTTGATATTTTGTTTGTTATTAAACAAAATAAAATTATAACTGTATTAAAAAATCTATTTTTTTTTATTTTGATCTTTAAAGTCATACCTCGTCCTATATGCGAGATCGTCTTATATTCGAGTAAATACGGTATATCTCTTGTATAAATTAATAATAATTAATAATTAACAACTCTATTTAATAGGTATATTACTCGGAATATCATCGACATTTGCATCCGCACCCGGATTTTTAACTCCTTTAATAGTCGGGTATATAACGAAGCACGAGGTAAACACGTTTTTTTAAATAAATAATTTAAAACTATAAAATTTCATACTAATAAATTAATAAATAATAAATGTTGCAGCAAACGATCGACAGATGGAGCATTATTTTTTATTCGACAGCAGGACTTTACATCGTAACAAATTTTATTTATGTTATTTTTGGTTCGGCCGAACTTCAACCTTGGGGTGTGGCTAAACCCGAAATCTCGAAGAACTGCATTAAAACCGACCAGTTCGTAACGGTGAATTCTGAAGATAAAACTAAAGTTTATCCATAGTTTATCAGAGTAACTTCACATTGTATATATTATTATTACGTACACAAATTAGAACAGTAAGAGATCGATTCGAGAAACCGAACTTCGTCTCATTTATTAATAAATTAGATCCATTATACATTAAAAATATCTATGTGTCTCAATATTTTGATTTGTGTGATAGAAAGATTTGTAAAATATCATCGTATAAATTAAAATAATTTAAATTGATATGGATTATCACTGGAAATGACGCGGTGCTTTTTTATACAAAAGTCTGTAAAAAACAAAACTTATTATCTCGTAAAGAATTTTTAATTTTATTGACCGATTTATAGGGAAAATATCTTTCATCGGAACTCGACTTCTTTATACTCAATAATAGTACGGATACCACTGTTATTATTACGTTGCAGTCTTGCTAATTCGGTCTCTAATTATCCGGCATACCCCCAGTGTAATTGCCTGAGGGCTTCCGTTTACAAAAAGACGTTAGTTATGTCACACCCCATTTTCCCGTTTACTGAATTTTCTGTACAGCATTGGTGTCAGAGCGCCCTGTCAATTTTCTTCATGCCTGCAAAAGAATCAGTATCGAAGGACAAAAGGGTCACGTCATTTGTTTCTTGTTGATATGCTTTAAGCCTATAAACTCTCGGAAATCCGGTGCTCTCTCTTATCTGACATATTTATGTGCGAGAAATGATCAGATTAGCAAAAGCTTATTGGGTTGCAATTTAAAAAAAATTGTAGACGTATAAATTCCCACTGTCGTTCGTCCGTTGGTCTTTCCTTAATCTCGAGAACGGTATTAGATAGATGAAAGACAAGACTACATATGAAAACCTTAGAGGACGTACGCCCGGACTACGCGTATATGAACTTCCGATGGAAACTGAAAATTGTGTTATTTCAATTCAAATTTCTCCCTGAAAGCAGTTAATAGATGACTGGCACGACTCAATTCATAACGGAAAAGTATGATGTACAGGGGCAAGACATTACTAATTTCAGGTGGTGAGCATATATTTTAAATTAAATAAATTCAAAATATAATTAAAAATTGTAGCCCGGTATTGTGACGATGTCAAAATAAATAATTGTCGTTGTACTTATGATTTATATTCTTGGTCCGCTTATCAGATAAAAGTTTTAATAAAGTTTTAAATTGTTTTTATTAGGCTTATTTAGTTTCTATATTTCAATAACACTTAAAAATTGGGTAGTCAGCCCTCTACCCTCAAGATTGTCTTTTACTATTTTGTAATAATTAAAAATAAAGTTTTAATAACCAAATCTGATAACAGATGGTGCTACTACAATTTTAGTTATTTATTTTGATTAATTAATAATACAAATGTTATTTATAAAATAAAAGCTCATAAAAGCCAGGAAAATTATGCAACTGGTTGCTAGATTTTTTATAATATTGTTTATAATATTTCAGGAAAAAAATATTTTTAAACTTAATCTCTTTTCATATATTTATTTATATTTTTTTATATTAATTAGATCAATATTAGATACATAGTAATTGATATTAGGTAAATATAAATAAATTCGGATATTATAAAAATTATTTAATTGAAATTACAGTGGTACCTCAGGATACGAACGCCCAGCATACGAAATTTTCAGGATACGATATGAAATTCGAACATATTTTTGCTCTACGATACGAACAAAAACTCACCATACGACGTTACATTAGTTCGCATCGCCATTTTTTATTCACTTCTGTTTATTGGTCTCAGTTCGAGTGTTTGCTTCGTCGTGGAAAGATCTCGCTCGATAAAGGAATTGTTGAGGTATTATCAGAAAGTGACTGATTTTATTGAAAAGAAACATCCCGAAAATGTTCACACTGGCCGTATTGCTGGTCGGAGTAATGACATTTGCCTAAGTCATTTTAGAAACATTTTAAAAAGTAGGCAAAGCCAAACGTCTTTGTTTAGATATTTTACCAAGCGACCTCNCTCGGAGTAATGACATTTGCCTAAGTCATTTTAGAAACATTTTAAAAAGTAGGCAAAGCCAAACGTCTTTGTTTAGATATTTTACCAAGCGACCTCTATCCAATGAAAGTGCTGATGAAAGTGAAGGAAAGAAAGCCAAAAGCAGTGAATAAAAATTTAAAAACTATATATAAAACAACACTAATTTTTTAATCTTTTCTAAGTTATTTTTAAGTTATTGTTACATTATGTTATGTAAGTTAAGTTTTAGTATTATTTCTTTTCTCCCTCTCCTCCGTCACCAGTTTACACCTCCACCGTCGTCTATCCTCAAAGGTAAAGTGCAAATAAAACTACATTTTTTTTATCAATTATTATTCTATTATGGATATTTATACATTTACAACTACAAAACGCATTTTTCAGTGTTTTCCTTACTATAGTTAATTTTTTAATGCACTACTTAGCTTTAATTTGAGTGTGTTTTTCGTGTTGGAACGAATTATTTGGTTTTACATATAATCGTATGGGGAAAAATGATTCACCTTACGACATTTTCATGATACGATCTCAATGTGGCAACGGATTAATTTCGTATCCTGAGGTACCACTGTTTTAGAACTCATGCACGAGCTCATGAAATAATTCTGGATAAAATTAAGAACTCCTTATATATGTGTGTATATATAGCAGATGTGGCCAAACTTTTATCCCTTAGGGGCTACGTTTTCGGTAAAATATAGTCTGCGGGCGACTATGAACATGGACAAACAATTTTAGGATTTTTATATGCGCATGCGTTAACATTCATTTGCATTGTTTATCGGGATATATACAAACAGTATGGGTACGTTGCACAGACAGTCTATTATTGTAAGAATAAATTATTGAATTAAGATTTTTAAACATTAATTTAATTGAAAGCAAATTGTTCGACTTTAGCTTCGCGTTCTACTTTCAAAACTTTTGCGGTCGATCGGTCGACCGCGGTCTACGTGTTGACCATCCCCGATATATATAGGATACATATACAGTATATAAGTCAATTTAAAAAGAAAGGTTTTTTTCTCAAAATGAAAAAAGAATTTTCTCTCTTGAATACAGGATCTGTTAGGTGGTAGAACACAACTTGCAGAGAAGTCTCGTAAGTGCTAATAAATAATAAGATTGAAGAACTCCCAGATAAGTTACGAATTGATTCTTATATGTCATCTACGACTCGTATGTTACAATGGTCAAAAAGTGATTCCATTCTCTAGATATAGTAGCGGCTAATTGTTAAATGATGTCATTAGGACAGTAGGAATGCCTTTAGTCAGATTCTAAAACATTTTTGAAGAATCGTGCCAAATATTTTAGTTTATATTTTTTTCCTGGCTTTGGATATTCTAAAATATAAATCGATAACTTTGTTAATGGATCGATCGAATGTTTTAGTCATTAATTTTTTTATAATTTTTAACCATTTTAATGATTCTGTAATTAGTTGAATATAGGGAAATTGAATGGATATAAATCGGTAGAGGAAATGAAAAATTTTCGCATTAAAAACTTTTTTGTGCTGTTTAAAATTCATTAAAAACACAAATGAATTTATTTTAAATTGACATTTTTCAAATTTTAGATTAGTTCTTAATTTTTAAATATTACTTTTCGAATATCTCGCGAAATACAAAGATATCAATTCTTCATAGAAATTTCATTTCCATGCATTTTTGTAAATATTCTAATATTTTTAATCTACATCACAAAGTATGTTCACTGATAGTTACGTCTGCGCTGTGGTAACCTGTTTGATCAATTCCTTGATCAAAACGTATGATTCGTACTTTATTTAACCAATGAGAAGCAATTATTATAAGCGTTTAAACAATAATACTACCACATCGTTATAATAATAATTCGTGTATGAAATAGTTAAAAATATATATTTAGCGTTCTAAATTGTTTATTTATGTTATAATACACTCGTAATATATTATTACAAGCTAAATCACGTGGTTAATGCCAATAGTCAAAAATTCCATTACGTAATTTCCTTTAATACATCCCTACTCGATAAGTGCTGCCATCTTTAGTAAAGGTTATAAATTAAACGGAAGTAAATCTTACGTCGTAACTTTCGATATTCAAATATAATAAATTACCAACCTAATTGTAAAACAATATTAATGGGAAATGGTATTTTTTGATAAGAGAAATTAGTAGTCGTTCCTTAAATAGAAAAACTTTATTCTGCATCAATTGATGTTTCGATTTTCGTCGGTAACACGTACAAAGACGTAATTCCGTTTAAGATGCAGCCGTTTACGTAACAGACCGATGTTGGGCACGATGGACAACGTGGGACTTTCCAGAAGAAACGATAATTCTCTGCCGACGGTCGAAATTATAGAAAGGGTTTTTCAGTCGAATATGGTCCCGATGGTAATTAAAACCGAAGAAAAGCAGCATAAGGAAGAAAAACTCGTCGAAGAGGACGAAGACTGTGATTGTCTGGAATGTGTGATAAGTCCCACCACCGATGTATTGATATTATTCGGTATGGATTTTTCTCACAGTCACAAAGGCAAAAATAAACCGACTCGGCAGGTCTTGAGGGGATGCGTCATGTTTTTCGTTCTACTTCATCTCATGGCTTTCATCAGGTCTTTTACCGGAGCCGTCCTCAAGCCCGAATTTATGACCTATTTAAACACCACGCCTACTTTTAGCAATTTCGGAAAGCAGATTATTACAGCTTATTGCGGATGGTCGTTCTTCGTTCTCATCTCCATTTGCATCTTCGCCGTGTCAGACAACAAGACCAGCGTCAGATTATTTACCAGATTATCAGACGAAACCGGTTCTCCCGAAAATGACGAAAGCCTTAAGGTAAAATTACTTTATCTTCAAAATAAATTAACTTGCATCCTTTTGCCCGCCACCGTTATCTTAAGCGGTATCGTCAGTGTTTTGGGACTAATGTCGCTTATTCCGACATTCCAAAAGCTGAACGAAATGAATGTCGACTTTATGACGGCGCTTTATTTATTCTCCCTGGCTTGTCTGATTCAGGAAATGACCCACAGTATTGGACTGATTGCCTTTACCGTACAGTTGTTCCTCTTGATGTTGCTGGCCGTTAGACAAGAATCTGCCGAACTGTGCGAAGAATTGGCCAAGTTTGCCGAACTCCGAATCGACACTTTAGATTTTCGGTTGGTCCAACGCGATTGCCATAATTTGAGTAGAATGGCTTATGCCGTAGATCAGTTGTTTTCGGTGGTCTTCAGTTTAGCTTCTATCGCATTTTTAATCATATTCACTTACATGCTACGCACCATCATTTTTGCTAATACCTTCAACCGAATGTTCACGTTTATAACCTTGGTATTTTTGTTTATGCTGGTGACTTTATGGCTAATAATGGCCATGCTGTCAACGGCCGTAAGTATGACCGACCATATTTATAAAAATCCTGGTAAATAAATATTGTTAAAACTATCATTTTTTCTAGGTTCAGAAACCGTACAAGCAACTGTGTAGAATTAGCTGCATTAATAAATTAAGTATTCAAGATATGGAAAGAGTAAGTGAAAATCAAATTCGTTATATCTTATAAAGGATAAATGAAAGCTAATTTACAGTTATAATTTAAATTTTATACAGAATATCAAAATTTATATACAACATGGTATAAAGAATTGAAAATATAAAACCTACACTTGCCAAAATCATATTAGCCGAAATCCTATCCACGCAATGCCGGGCTTATTCGAATTTATTTAACTCTTTAACTTTTTCATACATTTTAGTTATTTCATCATTTTTAAATCTATTTTAATAATACGCCCTATTTAACATTGTATAATACAAATAATTAAACAATTGACTAAACTGTATATTTTTTATTTGTCTACCGAATTTTTGTTCGTCCATTTGTGATGAATTTGTTAAAACATTTTCATTCTTTCCGATTTTAATATTATGCGCACTGGCCGTTAAGTATAGTACATTAGTAATAAATTAATAGAATAATTATATTCGTATTTGCCCGAATCCCAGCTTTCAAACTGCTAAAATAATTTTTAATAATTTTCATTCGTCGTGCCACATTTTATTCGGTCATCCACATAAGCTAGCCAATAGCTGCGCTTCCACGTTATTACTACTTAAAAAATGTTTTTGAGTTAAATTAAATTATATTCGAGTTAATTAACCCGTTTCAACTATTACCGATGACTTTTTATTACTTTTTAATAAATAATTAAATTTATTTTTATTCTCATAATGTTTTATTAGTGTTTTTTATCGGCCGATCTGCATTTCAATATCCTGATAAATATTGTGCGAAAAAGTATTTTCAATACTATTTATACAACGTTAAAGGCCAGAGGCGACAGACAACAAAGTTTATCTTTTTAACAATCAAACAAGGCAAAAAGCAGTTATATCCACCCCAAAATATTTACAATTCACGAGGTGACGAGGAGATAGAAAATATGTTATTGTAATAAAAAGTAAATTTTCTATCTCCAGCTGGTCATCCTTTACATTGTCAATGTTTTCGGAGGTTGTTTTTATTTTACGATACAGGTTCAAACAGAAATTTTTACAACTTTTAAATTTTCCTAACTACAGTAGTCAGCACTGAACTTACAAGTTAGATCAGGTCGCAGTTAACATGTCATTCAATAGATAGGTTTAAAAAAATGTAACTTTGATTCATTGCATGAATGTTTTACATAACTTAAAACAAATATACAGTAATTAATCTTTATTCTTGCTAAATATCAACTTGATATGTTGCAGGTTTAACAAGATTGAGCCAGTCAAACTTGAGTCACAGGCATCAAAAAACATAGACCGCTGCGTCACCCATGTCAATGAACATAGACCGACCGATAATTTGCATTAAAATAATGTTACAATTGCAGTATTTCTGAAACAACTGATTATTTTAGCCTCACTTTAGTCTGCAATAATCCTATGAATGATATAAGGTGCTTTTTTAATTTTATTTACGAACCTTTGCATTTTGTCTACAATGACCAGCGGAAAAGCTGTTTCAGAAGATTTAAGGAATGCTATCGTTGCTAAACAAAGTCGTGGCATGTCTGAGAGAGCTATTAAAAAGGAGCTAATGCTAAACAAGACAACAGTGCACCAGATTATTGTTCATTACACTAACCATGGTCATGTTATACCTAACAAAGCTACTGGACATCATCGAAAAACTTCAAAAGTTGATGATACTAGTTTTAAAAGAATCGTAAAAAACAACCGCCGTGCCACAGATATTGAATGTAACTATAATATGGAATGATACGTCTGGAAAGGATGTATCTGTTTCGCCAACACGCAGGAGACTACAAGAAATGCATTTCCGGTTCTATGCAGCACGTGAAAATAAAAAACCTTTGCTAACAGCACAGTAAAAGAAGAAACCGGTACAGTGGGCCAAAAAACATCTTTTCCCGTCTCAACAAAAGTGGCATTAAATTCTAGGGTCTAATGAATCAAACTTTGAATTATCAGCAATAGACAAAAGCAAACGTGTCATTCGATCTTCCAGTCAAGCTAATGAGCCACCGATGTTACATCGTCGCTCAGTGAAGTTTCCTTTTCCTGCCAGCTTCACGGTTTGGTGATGTATGAGCACCACTGGTATGGGTCAGTTGACATTTGTTGATGGAACATTTGCTTCAGAGCAATACATCAACATTCTATAACAGTTTTACTTCCGTCCATAGCAAAGTTTTACTTTTGTCTATATCCAAACAGAACCTGCATTTTCTAGCAGGATGGGACCACATGTCATAAAAACAAAAAAACAAACCAGTGGCTTGCAGAAAATAACATAGTTCTTCCTTGGCCATTTAACAGCCTAGATTTTTCACCGATTGAGAATGTATGGAACATTATGAAGAGACGTCTGCGAAAAACACGTCCTTGCAGACGTCTCTTCATAATGTTCCATATATTCAGTTGAAAGATTAAAAGCTTCCATCTTAACTATGTGGAATTCCATAACGGCAGATGAATGAACACCTAGTCAACAGCATGCCGAAACGTATGGAAGGTGTTTTGGCCGCAAAGGTGATGCAACAAAATATTAAACATGCAGTGGTCTATGTTCATTGACGGTAGGGTGACGCAATGGTGTATATTTTTTGATGCCCATGACTCAAGTTTGACTTGCTCAATTTTTTTAAACCTATTTATTAGATAACATGTTAACTGTAGCCTGTTCTAAGATCAGTGGAGACTACTGTACTACGAAAATCTTGCAGAGTATCAAAATTGGCACGCGTGCGGTTGATTTGACATCACCGTAATGCAGATTTACCATTACAAATTTTAAATTTTTACAGAAATATTTGGTTTTCTTTTGTGAAATTTATAAACCTACATTCCTAATTCCTTAAAACCCTATACCGGTAAACGGTTCCAGGAGTCGAATCTGTTGATAACCGAGTTGCGCAGACATTTGTAAAATCTTTTCATATTATAAAAAATTTTGCAAAAATGAGCATATATTAATTAAAATAAATTTTAAATAATTCGGTTGCAATTTGAAAAAAAATTGTAGACCTATAAATTTTCACTGTTTCTGTTTGTCCTTTAGTTTCGAGAACGGTGTTAGATAGGTGAAAGTCGAGACCAGATATAAAAAACAGGGCAGGAGGCCCCGAATAACTATATCCGACCGTAACTCACGTTATTTCAATTCAAAAGGTTTCTCCATAACGGAGGTATATAGATGATCGGTACGACTCTGTTGTTATCAGAAACAGTATGATGTACTGTACGGGGGCAAGATACTACTAATTTGAGATCGAGAACATATATTTTAAATTAAATAAATTAATCATATGATTAAAAATTGCAGCCCGGCATTGTGACGATCTCGCAATAATTTTTGCTGGATTTTTATATTTTTTAAAATTGAATAGATAATTTATTAAATATGCTGTTACTCGCCATCTCTTAGACAATTTTGTCAGATAATTAGGAATTGCTTATAATAATGTATTATATATATCAGTCTTATATTAGAGAATATAATGAATTGTACATTAGCATATACAGTATATACAGTACGTATACATACAGCATTTCAAGGTATGTACTATATGTTTATATGATTCTTTTGTCATTGAAATAGCAGTTGATATTTCATTTTTATTATTACAATACTAATTATATTGTAAGAAACAATTATAACAACTCTTATACTAAATACTTTAATAGTTTTATTGATTCAAAAAAGCTTTAAATGTAGATTGAAAATTTAATATATTCCTTACTAAGGATTGAATTGATATATTGATTAGAATTAGGAAGCAGTATCAAGAATACACGTAGAGAATGTCTTACGTAATAGACTAGCATTATATCGATTTATAGCGTTTGTTATTTATCCCGGCAATTTTATTTATATTTTTTTTAAATATTTTTCCTTAATTGTTCATTGTTTTAATAATGTTCTTCATTTTAAAAAATAATAATTATAAGAATGTACAGGTAGACACTGAATTACGATAGTTGTTATTACTCCGTTTCAAAATTACTCTGACGTAGAGGCATGCATTTCAATCCTTCCGATTTCATCTCACTACATGCAATATGTTCTTTATGCCGGTTCACACGAGGTAAATCGGTCGACATTGTAGGTGTAGTGAATACGTAAAGGTTTTTGTGAGACGTTTAATCGGTTCTAATTATTAATTAAGGGGCCAAAGCGTGCGTTAGAGTCTGAACTAAAAGTAGTAAAAACTCGCCGTAAAGCTCAACGATCGATGAAAACTAAAGATGATTCGTTGCGTGGAGACAAGACGGCGTCTTTAGGCCTTGCAGCTTCGACAGTTATAACGATAATAAATACCCTTCTCAAGCTCTATTAAAATATGTCGTACGAACAAAGTAGAACAAGCACAAACAGCAGAACGTGCAGAGTTGTCATCGAGGGAGCCCGCAGGGACAGCGGAGTTCGTCGACTCCGAGGAGTGTCAACCTGGAATTTTCACTAATCTATCACTGCTTATATTTTACTAACTACTATATGTTCTGCTTGGCTGTATTTTGTGGGAAAAAATATCCTTGTATTTGTGTAAAAAAAATAATAATATTTTTGTAGTACATTTTATGTCTTGGAACTTTAGTCTAATGCTACCTTTAATTACATTGTTTTGAATTCGAACTCGTGTGGCTGAACTTAATTCCGGCATAAATGGCGAGCTATCTGTATAGAGAATAATAAAAATATACGAATATATAATATTAATAATAATTTTCTTTTCATTTAATATCGTTTAAACTGTAATTTAAACTGGAATAATTTCGTTTACCATATTTATTTTTAAGCTGCTGTATTTGATGAATAGAATTGGCGGTCCACCAGTAGGTATTACGTTGATGAAAATTTCGGTGGTGACGAAACCCACAGTACTAAAGGTATTATTATGTTAAATTTAAATGTAACGATATCAAATGGTGAATTTAATAACATTTCATATAATATAATTTTAGGTTTTCAGTTTAGTTGTATCGATATTTGTGTTTCTGTTACAATGGAGGCAATTATCTGTTTCCGATAATTCCGTCGAAATAACTCCCAGCTTAGAAGATTTTGAAGACCTAGAATAATAGAAAATAAGAATTCACCATAACTAAATGTTTTATTATTAAATTATTTAATTAATTTAATAAAATCAACAATATAAAATACGAAAGTTAACATTTATAACAGTTCTTCTAGTAATTAATTTATATAATAGATACTTTTTGAGTAAATGCATTAAATAAATACTGTTATTTGTCGTCTAAATGTGATGAATTATAATGTTCTTTTATTTATTTATCTATCTGTATTAAATAGTTTAAATCATTTTCGATTTTATAACTATTCTTTCTTCTTAAATAAATTGTTAGATTTTTAAAAATGTCATTACTTTTGTCAAATACATTCAAAGATTATGATTTTTGAGTAATTTTATATCTATATTTTTATTTTAATTGTGTTCGGCATTTTAATATAGACTTTTATTATAAAGAGTAATGAATTTCTCCATATTTTCATATGATAATTAAGGATTTCATATTTTATGTATAATTGCGGCATTCTCTGTACAAAACAAAAAATTCCAAAATACATCGCCTTAAGTAAATGTTTCCATAGATCAATTCGAAGTACTGTACATTGCCAAGTTTTAATAAAATATTCAATTCCTAAGAGGATTGTTTCAAGATTCCTACCTCACAGCACTTTTTAATGTGACTTAAAAATATGTACAGTACGTTACAAAATTGTGTAATAAATGTAAAACATATCGAAGCGTTTTAATATTATTTAATTTAAATTCAATTAAGAAACTACTAATAAATTACTTTAAAGTTTATATTAAGCCTGAAACTAGTTTTTGTACATAGTGTGCACAGAAAGAGAGAGAGAAAAAAATGACTTTTACTTTCCTGGCTGTTATGAGTATATAACAGAGGGAAAGTTTGGCGATCGGTCAAAAAATGAACCCCCAGTTTTTTACATTTTTGGACTTAGGACACCTTGAAACGTCGAGAAATGCAGAAAATTTCGGAGGTAATTTCTATACAGTATATGTGTATGTGGGAGTCGGTGGCACAATTTTGTTTATGCTCTTTGAATCTTAATTAATAACTTCTGGCTTTTTGTCGAAAATTTCTGACATTTTGCAGGATGGTTTATTTATTAGAAGGTTGATGCTATTAAATTTTGGTGGTTAAAGGTCGAGGGGTGGGGAGATAAAGGGGGTCGAGTGTATCTCCAGTAGGGTCAGACTTAATCACGATTTTACCCAGTATTAGCAATTACAATTTTTAATAAAATTGAAAATTTGGCTTTTTGTTATTTTATAATAATTAAAAATATAAAAAGCTTTTCATAATAAAATATCATAACAGACGACGCCACATACGCAGTTTTAAATGTCGCCGGGAAAGTTAAACAACTGGTTGCTGAATTTTTTTATTTCATTAAATTTATTCTCATTTCGCTTTATATTTAAGCATAATAAATTATTAAAACAAATTCAAAAACTGTTATCGTAACAAATTATATAATTGATATTTAATAAAACATAAAAATTTAACAGAATTCATATTGTTTAATTTCACACGTGATAATAAACCAAATAGTATGGGTGCAATTTTCAGAAGCATTTAATTTATTGAACTGTTTTTTTTAACTTAATCTTTTGCCGTGTTTGTAATCGGCTGACTCTAACATAATAGCAAAAAATTTATCTATCTATCAACAAAAACTGTCTTCTCCCAGTCTGTGGAAAGTGCTGCTAGTCAATTTAGTATGGGTAAATCAAAAATTATAAAATATTTTATTCGAAAAACTTCTAATGGCAAGGAATCGAGTGATTTGTGAATATGAGAGGTGGGTTAAATTTGTTGACGTTAGTTCTCATTTTGTTATGGCCGCGAAGGGTGAACTACAGGTGAACGAGAAAAGCCGAATACTGCCGAAAACCTATGTTATCGGTTGTTAATTCGATACCCGAACCGTATTGTTATCCCCAGCCGTTCACATTTGTCTTACAGACGACCACTCTTTTTCAATTAATATACGCGTAAATCATTTTCGTTTTTAAGTACAAAATTTAAGCATCTTTTATATATCAATAGAAATAACAAGTTATACATTTGGAAGATAAGTAATTTGCATCTCGATGGAAAATATGAATCGTCACGCAATTATACTAATTTGTTTTTATATAGGCTAATACTTTTCATACTTTAATTATTAAAAATATTTATCTTAACTTCGCATAAAATATGAATCTAGTTTAAATATCGGTATGAGGAAATTTATTGTAATAAAGTCATAATACAGGTAATAATGTTCAAATGCAAGTTTCTTTATGAAGTCAAAAATACAAAAGATTTTACAAAATAAATCATATCCCCTCCACTTTTAACCACTAAAATTTAATGGCATCGATCCTCTAATATGCCAAGCTCCTTGCAAAATTTCATAAATTTTCGACAAAAAGTACAGGAGTTATCGAGCTTCAAATTGAGTAAACAAAATCATGTCCCCCTCACACACACACACACTAAGTAATGCAAGAAAGAATTGATTTTTCTATATGTATATACAGAAATATCCCCCATTTTGTGCATTTCTCGACGTTTCAAGATTTCCTAATCTGAAACTATTTTATGTATTAATGGATTTATCATCAAACGATGGTTTTTATAACGTCAGTAATGTTAAGTTAGCGTTAGCAAGTTATATTTTAAAATAGTTTTCGACCAATCGTAATGTCGGTTAGCCACTTTGTCCTTACGATAAAGTTTATCGCGACTACGTTTGTAGCAGCGTTTTATCGCAACTTTTCTCCCAAAAGTACAACGCGCCGTTTTATTTCTCTCTGCAAATCGCTGTGGCCATCGTATACAAAATATCTTACATTTTTTATTTAATTATTCAATGTTATATATTTATAAAGTCGGATAAAACGAAGAAATTGGATATGTGCTAATTAATATGGAAATAATTAATAAAAAATAATATTTTTTATCAGTTATGTGAAAGGTACTCATATTAATAATTGAAAATGTTTCTTATCAGTTACGGCATATTTCTCTATCTTTTCTAACTTCGGGCGTTTTCCAATATTGATAAGAAACTTTGTCTATCGTCAATGCACACGTAACAAAAGTAGAATAAGTGTTTAATTCCTGTTTAATTTTTTAACTTACAAATTTACAAAATAAAAAAAAAATAAGCCATTGATTTCGTTGGAAGAAGAAACGTGGTATTTAGAAGTATGTATCCCTTTTATAAAAGGATATAATCTATATAACATATAAAGTAAAATTAAAAATATTATTTAACGTCTACAGAGAGGGGAGGATTTATAAAACGTCAACAAGCTCTTTCCGTAAACTTGTAAGTCCAGTACGAACTTCGATCTGGGCCTACTGCCTGTCCTTCCATACAATTAAGTTTTAAAATGAAAAAATTTCTTATATCTTGTATGAAAAATTTTTTATCTGTTTCGTATTTTTACAGTTCTTTTATGGAATAAGTGTTACTATATAAAAACGCATATAGCTTATTTATTGCCATCGATGCGTTTTTTCAACAATTCTCATCTGACTTTGACAAAGACTATTCAAAATTTCTAGCTAACATTATTTGATCAAGCTTAGTATTGGATAAATAAATAGAAAAATATAAAGTAAATAAATAAAATTTTTCACTAACATTAACTCTGATAACTTACTGCCTGTTTTAAGTCAGATATGTCAAGATATAAAAGAGAAAAATTATGCAGAGTTATATTATTATATATCATATGGGGAAAATATTCGGATAAGTTCATGGAATATAAAAATACCCCGCAATTTGTCTAATGATTTTTATAAAATAATTTGACAACTATTTGCTATAATAATGTTTTAAATTATCTCCGGTAAATCAAGGTTTGGTATCAAAAGTTAATATTTGTTGAATCGGGGATTTGTTAAATATAGAATGGTTAAATAAGGTTAACTTAATCTCACTATAATATTAGAACATTCGTAAATAGAGTAACTATACCAGTTATTGCTATTTATAAACTAAAAATTTTAAAATAAGGTAGTGATAATTGTTTAGCTGTCTACTGTTAGAGAATTAAGTTAAAAATACAGTGTAAAATTGTTCCGAAGTGGAGTCACTTGGCTTTTATTCTCGAATTCGATTTTGATATATCAATTAGCGGGTGAAATATTACAGTTGAGACAGAATAAGGTAAGTTGATCAAATTTGTATAGTATTTAAAAAAAACTCTTTTAAGGTTTTAGTTATGTTAATAAAATACGTAAAAAGACTATGTCTACACTTTCGCCATGTCCAATCACCAGGAACAACAGTGTTCCATTGCAGAAATGACCTTTTATTAGAGACTACACCTCTGCGAAAACATGCATAACAGTCTAAAAATTCGCTGGTGACAAGCCAAACAATCCAAAGATCGTCTCTGCAATGGATGACTATTGTTCCTGGTGATTGGACATGGCAAAAGTGTAAAAATTTTAGTCTTTTATTAATGTAAATTTGTCAGCCATTTTTAAAAGTAAGAGTTCTATTTGTAATTATTGATATTATATGTCCAGGGTGGCCAAGCTCCTTGATAGTTCGAGCCATTTTTCAAAATTTGAAATTTTTCGCGAGCCGCAATTAAATACGTATTAAAAAGGTATGCAAAAAATTCCAGATTACAAATTATATCCATAGCAAGAGTGATACATATTGTTTCCTCCAGAGCACAATGTCAACTGTCCGTTGCAATGTACAAATTCAAAATCGGTCTGGAGTCGGTTGATAACGGACGATTGCGCCACTGCTTATGTTCGTTCGCGCAGTTTTCGATGAGTCATATCATTCTTAACTTGGACAGAAATTAAATTTGTTACAACGTTGCACTTAGTCTTTCATATTTGTTGTTAGTAATTTAAAAGACATTTTGAAACACATACGGAACAATAATAATTTTTTAAAATATAATAACACAAAAATGAAAAGGGAACTTGGGTACATTTATCAAGAGCCACAAATAATCCTTCAAAGAGCCGCAGGTTGGCCACCCCTGTTATGTGTGTTACGTATTAGTTATTAATTATATTAAAATTTCATTTAAACTGCCGATTTAGTTTTAGTTATAGATGGTGATTACTAGAACAAAATATG